GTGGGGCTACAGGCCCAGCTACAGCAGGGGGAGGTGGGGCTACAGGCCCAGCTACAGCAGGGGGAGGTGGGGCTACAGGCCCAGCTACAGCAGGGGGAGGTGGGGCTACAGGCCCAGCTACAGCAGGGGGAGGGGGGGCTATAGGCCCAGCTACAGCAGGGGGAGGGGGGGCTACAGGCCCAGCTACAGCCGGAGGAGGTGGGGCTACAGGCCCAGCTAAAGCAGGGGGAGGTGGGGCTACAGGAGGAGGTGGGGTAACAGGCCCAGCTAAAGCAGAAGGAGGTGGGGTAACAGGCCCAGCTACAGCAGGGGGAGGTGGGGTAACAGGACAGAAATGCCAATGACAGAAAATTTACCTGCGGGGGCATCAGAATTCAGTGCCAGTCCTGCTGCTTCTGGTAAATCTAACTTCTGAGGAGTGGGAGGTACAGAAGCCAGACCCTCCACAGGGGGGCTGTCCTCTGCAGGGTGTGGAGGCCGGTCCCAATTGGGCTCAGGGGTCAGCTGGGGGACAGACTCCTCCAGGGGGGTGGGGAGAGAGTGAGTCTCCTGGGGAGGCGGGGTCTCAGGTGTGAGCTCTGTAGAGGGTGCCTCGGACACCGGCTGCCAGAGGAACAGGTACAGTACAAAAACAATTCTGAGGTGCTTGTAGCTTGGTAAACAAACAAGATTTATTTTTTTTTTTTAATCAAGCTGAGATTCTAAAGGCACGTCTTGTCCTGGAATATGTAAGTGTAGACTGGACAGGGAGACTGAAAAACAGGAAAACGTCCCAACTGACTGACTGCATGAGGAGTAAAGTAGAAATGACTGTGAAGCCCCCTAGTGGAAGGTCATACCTGAACCCCGACGAGCTGAGTTTTGGCTGGACTGGCCTTCCAGAGCGAGGCGGCCGTGGACACCGCCCACTGCGTGCCTGCGTACGTCTTCCTCCCAGTGATCTGAGGATGAGGAAGACACCAGTCAGAGTTCAGAAGTATGTGCAGCATTAAGAGGCCAGAATGCAGGGGTAGGTACTAAGGACATGCAAAGAGGACTGAGATGACATCATCAGGGATAACAGCCACCCAGCTCCCGCCCGCAGGAAGGCATTACCACCCATTTCAGAGACAGTTTCTTTCCCCATCAGGTAGCCAGAGTTGGGTAATTCAGGTCCAGAGAGTAAAAGTACAGTCCGGGACTTTGTTTCAGCCAACCAGTTGAACAATGTATAACTGTGACTCTTTATGCTCAACTGGTTGGTTGAAACAAAATCTTGGTCTGGACTTTTACCCTCTGGACCTGAATTACCCAACTCTGCAGGTAGCTAATCCGGTGACATGTATCTGTCCCCACTGCACTTTTTTTGTATCTGTCCCCACTGCACAGTTTTGCCCACTATGATTAAAACACCACCTCTGTACTTCATCATTATTATTCACTACACTGCGGTCTATTTGCACATCCCCATCCCCACTTGTTTGCATGTCATGTGACCTGATGAAACCAATCCACAGAAAGCTACCTTCAGAACCTTGACTGTCTGGCCCGGGTAGCACACGGCTGTACCCAAAGTGGCCAAGCCCAGTGACATGGCGATCCTCTTCGCGCGTGACCCTGGCAGGAAACATGACGGGAGACAATACAGGGGTGAAAAACACTGCACGCTCCTGCTTTGCAGAGGTTTTCAGTCAATCTACAGGCAGGCTAAAGGTCCCATATGCATCCAAGTCTCAAACTTCTATATAAACTAGATTAACTGAAGTACAGAGGGGAAAAAATATTACTGTCAAACTACTCAAATACACATATTTAAAGCATCCCGAGCAACATTTGGAAAGCCCTGCTGTGTGTTCGCCTTCCTGTGATGCTTACAGAGAAAGTGGTTACCTTTTCTTGCCAGGACCAATCCAGCTAGTCCAGAAACTGTAATTAAACTCACTCGGGGCAAAAATCCAGGAGGAGGGTCTTTAAGGTAGTGGTAAATATCTATGGGGGAGAAAATACTGTGTTAAAATTGAAATAGGTTTACTATATAAAAGGAACACAGTAATCCTTCCTCTCACCTTCTCCTGCATAGTACAGGTTAACAGCTCCTATTTTGAATGAAATGCAGGTATCCTGTAAGGAAAAACATCCCAGTGAGGGGAAATAACCTCAACATTGAGTTTTCAGGTGTACTGTACAAGCCATTTTAAGGCTTCTAAACTGGAGAGGGGAGAGGGGGGGGGGGGGGGGGGGGGGGGGGGGGGGGGGGGGGGGGGGGGGGGGGGTACCTTCACAGCCTGTGCAAAGGGCTGCAGTCCAACCCTTACGGTATGTAGCCCTTTCTCCACGCTTCCAGGCTGATCCTCCACAAAGTGGTACGGTTGGGACCTTGGTGTGTAGATGGACAGCTATAGTTGGGAGGACGCAAAGGGAGCTTGTTTCTCACGAGGTTAGGCCATACATAAAGAGGCTACAAAAATTAAAGGTCAACAGTTATGTAATATTGTATTGGATTAATCCCGGGGAAAAATACCTCCCGAGAATTGACATGTCCTTCTGTCTTTTCTTTATTTAACTCGTAAATCCGAAAAGACGCTAATCCAAGTGCAGCTGGGATTGCCGACAGCTTCAAAACCTGCAAACACACACATGGACTTTGCACATAAGGATGAAACAACTACCGAAACACGCGGGCCACGGGGTGTACAATTTCTCACTCTATGCTATGTTTAAGTTAAATTACGGATGTCAACTACTCTTCCTAAAACACTTTCGTGTAATTGGTCAATTATTTTCCGGTATAATCAAAGTAATTGTTTAAATATAAGCGTATGCTACTTCGACATGTGTGTTTTCCCTTACTAACCTTATCTATTTCGCGGTTCAGGTTTGCGTTCAAACTGACTCACTAACTTTCGAGTGTGCAATGTTGAACATGTGGCATATCATATACAATTAATTTTATTATTAAGTTGTGATTTTCACGTTTGTTGCTTTTGTTTATACTTTCATCAGCAACATCGTATACCATTTAAACGACTTTGAATAAAAAGGCCATACACACCTTGGCAGCCATGACGGACCAGCCCACCGAAACGTCATACGGAAAGCAACAGGGCACAAAAAGCCCAAGCCGATAAAACGCGTTTCCAGAATAGTTAACGTAGGACCGGGGTGCCCACACTTTTTCAGCTTGCTAGCTACTTATAAATGACCAAGACAAAATAATCTACTTACTCTAAAAGTGCAAAACATATTTATTTGTAAATATATAGAGTATTTTATTATTATTATTATTATTATTATTATTATTATTATTATTATTATTATCATTATTATCAATACTACTACTACTACTACTACTAATAATAATAATAATAATAATAATAATAATAATAATAGTAGTAATAATTTCCCTTATAAATAAATAAAGTGTTTTTGAATTGAACTGGGATTTTAGTTGCTTCACCTTTCTCTTTCTCAGCTCGCTTTTCGGAGGGAAGTTAATGTCGTAGTTTACAGTATATGAACAGTGTGAAAATGCCGCTCCACATTTCCCTTCTTCGGAATAGCGACGGTAGACTGACAGATGAGGCAAACGCACTTCGAATATGACATGGTGAAAAATAGTCCGCCTCCCATTCTGTATGGAATGGGTCGGTTTTTGGCTTCTTACTTGGTCCAGCTCCCCCATTTTATATCGTTTCTTAAGTTATTAGAAATCAATTGGAGGCTAACTAGGCGACTCGGTAGGAGTTTTGCAGCAGCTGGCGCGGTTGAATGCGTTAACCATCCTCTATTTTTTTATGCCATACGATCTACCCACACTGCCTATGCCAGGGTGCCCAGCTCCATAGAGCCCTGCACATTTTTGGGTTTCCCCTCATTTAACACACCTGATTCAACTCCTTGTGATAATTACCACACAGCACTTGAGCTGAATCATTTATGGTGGAACAGGGAAAGAACTAAGCTACACAGGGCTCCAGCCCCCCAGGACTGGAGTTGGGCACCCCTGACCTATGCGATCGACGTATTGGGCACCCCTGACATAAGACGTACAAGGGCGGTTCTCTGGGGGGACGTGCCCCCCGTGATAACATGCGTGCTCCCTGTGGCCTCCCTAAATATTATTATTATTATTATTATGTACATTTATAGATGCGGGCCAAAATTCTCTGGGCTGGGAACAATCGAAACACAAACATAAGCACATTTTCTTGATGTACTCTTAACGAGCATGCGACGGGTGGTCCAGCTGTTTCGGTTCATGAAAAGTTAACGACAGACAAAAGAATCAAGCTTGTGGAAGCAATACAGTCTAAACAAGACATCAGAGGGAGTGACATATTTGTAAAAACTGCGAAATGTAACTCCAAAGCATTGCATAAATGACTTACCGGTTTTCAAAATTGTCTTTTGCTTCTTAATGCTGGCAATATAGTGTAAAACATGGAGGGCATTAAGGTCAAATGCATCCGGCCCTCTTAACAGAACAACTAGCCCCAGTCTGCCCCCCATTGAAGAGGTGAAGAACCGCTACTGAGGAAGCACCTCCTGAATAATTTACAGACCTGTCATAACATTTTCTGTAAATGAAGTCAAAACTGGATAACAACTGTTATACTTGAAATATACTTGGCAAACTGAGGCTTCTGCATTTTAGATTTCTATTATTCATGTTTCCATCATGGTGGGAATTTCTGTCCTCGATAATTTCTTCCTTAATTAATTAATGTTGATTCAAAAGTATATGCAGATTTGGGTAACCTCATGGCTCATAAACACTGACTGGCTTTTATTTCAAATGGGCTGCATTTAGCATAACCTCATTTCCTCTGTACTAATTTTTCCCATCCATTTCCCATAATGCAGGACCTGCATCGTGTAGCTACTCTGTGACACCACAGCAGCGAGTGCGAGTACTTCTAGGGGCGTGGGACATATGTACAGTGCACGGTCTTGCTCAAAATCCCAGACAAAAATTGGCGTCCCCTCAGAATGTGGTGTCCAAGGCAGTCTCCTGAATTTGGCAGTCTATAAATCTTGCATTAACCTAAAATTCATCCATTGTGGACCATTTATTGTGTGCAGAGTCACAAGGGCTACTAGGGCTGGACTGGCCATCTGGCATTCAAGTCAAGTCAAAAGTTTTATTTGTCACATACACAGTGTGTACAGTGTGCAGTGAAATGTAGGTTTGCCTGGCCCTCCAAACTGTACACACTGTATGACTGTGCATGAGGCATTATGTAAATTTATCATGGAGAATCTCCCCCTCCCCCAGTTGGCAAAATTAATCATGGGGGACCACCCTGCGGCAACAATTTATTGTGGGTATTCCAAAGTCCAGAGCCGATTTTTATCCCAGTACAGCTATATGCTCTACACTCGTCTGACATTGGAATTGTTTGTTACAAATACAGCTTCAATAAAGACAAAAGATTTTAAATGAATTACAAATTAAAGAGCTCAAGCAAGAACATATTTTATAGTGCAGAGTTTTATTGAATTTTACAACCGAAGTTTTACAATCAAGTAAATATATATATATATATATACTTATTATAAACCAAAAGGCTACTTAAGAATCATAGGAAGAATAAATGTAATTTTCTTTCTCTCTTATTATCAGTTCTTTTTATCAGTTAATATACAGAATAACAGTTATTGTCTTTGAAAAAAGAGCAATATGTTCCTTTTTTAATGTCGCAGTGCAACTTACGTCTTACACACCTGTGCAATGCACCGTGAGGCTTCCCTCCCTCAAATGAACCCACAGTGGAATCCCATTTGGACAGAGTTCAGGAGATGGAGACACATGGACAGAGAGAAGCAAGGCCATCTGTACCTAAAATGAAAGTAGCGGTTCCGAGACCAGGCCCGGTCAGTTTCAGCACCCACTAAGCTTTTATTTCGGATTGTAATGGGAAAATAACACTGTCGCCCAGGGTGGTGCACACTGCCGATGGGTGCTGCGGTTTGGAAACAGGAGGCAGTGCCGTGCGATCCACTGGAGTTTGCGGACAATGCCGGATCTTGCAAAGGGAGGCAAGCCTCCTGTACTACACCCTTGTGGCAAAAGTCATGGGACACGCCTTTGATTAAAGGAAAAAAGGAGAGAATGATGGGTCTGCTGCTCCAGAAAACACAGAACAGGTCATGGGGATAAAGTCTCAAAACAGCCCTCTTACAAAGTGATGCACACTATTGGATTGAAAGTGGAGTAAAGCACAAAAAATGTACTGATGGTCATTTTCTAAAAGGTCACCTATGATGTCCTACAGCAGGTGATTAAGGCTGACGGTAAGCCAGCGTGCTATTCGTCGATATCCATAACTATGTCCCATGACTTTTTTGGTAGAACAGTATGTGTGTACTTAGGTCAGTAATAAAAACAGTAATTACAGTACTGAATAACAACAACAATCATAATAAAACATATAATTGTAACAAAATACCTTACATAATGTAAGATAACCTTCATGCCCTCTCATATAATCCATTTGAAATGTTCTGTCACAGAATCATTTATAGTAAAAGTTTAAAAGTTATGTTACTCTAAAAATTTGTACTTGTTTTTCGATTTAATTTGGTTATGATTATTAATTCTGTAACAGCTTTTGCGGCATTAATAAGAATTAGGCCAATAATAATAAAATATATAAATAAAAAATCGAGAGTATTTTATTCACATTCCGGTATGTGTTGCTTGATACACGTGGTCAAGATTGTATTGATGCAAAAATAATTCTCTGTAAGAACATTAAAATCATTTAAGAAAGATAAACAAGAACAGCAAAAAAAGAAGAAGGAAAACAATGTTGAAGTGAACTAAAAAGAAATAAATTAATCCCTGAAACACAAGAAATTTGTTTTGTTCTAAGTTTTGTATCCTATGGTGTCTTCATTTCCGTTTTAACAGCCACTCTGGAGAAAAAGCTTCCTCAGTAATCAAAACAAAGCAGTATTCTATTATAATATAATAATGGGCCAGGTTTTTTACTATGTAATGGGACTGTGTGTGTGTGTGTATGTGTGTGTGTTTACAGATTAGCGTTCATCCCTCTTCATACAGGGAGTCATTGTAGTTTAAACTCAGGTTAATCCTACTACATTAAATATTAGTACAGAACACAAAAACAGCTACCTGAAAATATGATATGCAAATTTAAAATAGATGCTATTTCAAATCTATGTATATGCAATTATGAATATTTTTAAGTAATTCTTTTTAAATATATATCTTTTTAAGCAAGTTAAAGTGAATATATTTGCAGACACCGAGACTTGAAATACGTTGTTTTTCTAGTCAGACTGTGAATGGGGGGTGGGGTCAATAACATTTTTAGTACTGGTAACAGTACTGCTATGCAAATAAATTTCGCGGGAGCCTCGCGTTGCCTGGCGGTGACGTCACGTTGCCGTAAATGAAAGTGCATTCTACGTAGTGCATTTCTTGCCTTGGTTTAAAAAACCCCAGGTAAAACGAACGCGCAGATACAACATGGCGTCTCCTCCAGCCGTTTGTCTCCTGGCCGTCCCGCTCACGCATGGCTAAGGTTGCCAGATCCCAAAAACTGCACATATGTGACCGACACACCCGGCGAGAGCGATCGGGAGGAGTACCGAACCAAGAAGGGGTCGGAACCACAGAACCTGAGTTCAGCCCAAATCGAGGACTCCGCTAGCCCCCTAAGCTAACTGCACGTTACTGCAACATGTAACCAAGAACAAAAATGTGCATGGTCTTTCTTCCATTCATTTTTTTAAAGTTTTTAAAACTTTTTTTCTATAAACAGGAAATTATTCTGAAAGATTCCGCAGACAGAATCTACAGTATAGATTGCATTCACAAGGATAGTTCACAGTTTTCAACAGTGGCTGTTTCTATGCAAAATTAAGGTCATTAAGGTTTTTTTTGTATATTTTTATCCTGGTAAATGCAGGTTTTACTTTCACGTGAGTATTAACAGAAAACTGCCCGGAAGTTTCATATCTAAGGCGTGCATGTGACTTTTCTTTTTCTCACGTCGGATTTACGTGCCTGATCCTCCTCCTATGAACCGTCTTTTACCGTACGAAAAACGTTTGTTTCTGCCTGTATATTTTTGCCTAGCCGTGGTTTGCGATGCTTGGCACCGAAGTACCGAGGAGAAAATGCCTTCGTGAAGAAGCTCCATGTGAAAATGGTATTTTTTCCCATCATACTGCTACATTGCTCCTTCTACTTGCAGCTCAAACAATAAAAAATTAAATAAATACAACTAAAAGACAGTACGTAAAAAAGAAAACGATCAAATAAAAATATAATCTCCGTTATCCTGTAGTTCATTCTTTTTTTTTTTTTCGTTTTATGTTCCCAGTTCAGAAGACTACTGAAGGGTAATACTCTCTTCTTCAGACATGCAGTATGCCACCTTTGGGCTGTTCTTCTTTTAATCCAAAGCATTTACTTCTGTCTGCTCCCAGTACAGTATTTACACATATTACAGTGGTTGACTGGTCATTATTTTGGTGTGAGGGTGGTGGGCGTGGAGGATATGTGGAGAGGGTCAGAACAGTGGTGGGGGCTGATGGGATCATTAGACTGGGATGGGGGGTTCCATACCACCCCTTCATTCCATGATCCCCCCCCCCCCCCATCTCACACATGGGTCTCGATGAAGGAGTGGGTGTGCGTCATGAGGGGTGGGGCCAGGGGTGAGAGTTCTGGGGTGCCATTGTTGCCCGGCCCGAACTCGCAGATGTCCAGGAACAGCTCATGGTGCCGTTGCTTCCAGTCTCGGAACTTCTTGGAGGTCAACTTCGGGTCTTCGAGAACTTGGCTGATGATGGCTAGCTCCCCTTCTTTGGCCTTGAGGAGAGGTGAATAGAACAGAAAAGGTCATGAATCATTTTCAGTATTTTTGAACCCACTAGATGGCACTCTTGGTTTGTTTTGGAACATGGATTGAGCCTTTTTTCTTATAGAGAGCACCATCTAGTGGTGTCAGAAAGCACAGCACATGGTTCATGATGCTTCCTTTGGTCATCACAAGTCTTCATATTCTGCCAGCCACGGGCTGCAGCTTGCATGGAGGGCCATTTCAGCGGCTTTCACACCACAACATGAGAATTCCAGTAGCTGCGATGATGAATCCATGGCAGTTCTCGGGTTAGAGGGCATCCAGGCCTTAGCCCAGAAATAATCTCACATCATAACATAATTACAATGATTGTAAAAAGAGAACTGGGGCTTTTCTAAAAATATTTAGAAGTTTAATCTCTTGTGGCAATTTCTTCCACTGCAAGTTTCACATCCATATGCTACCATACTATAGCCAAAATGTATGACTAGTGATACTCAGTAAAGTGCTGAATGTATCAGAACGTGCTCCACTACACTCCAGTGACATTGCCATTAATTTATTTTGCAGACACTTTTGTCCAAAGAGACAAGGAATACTTGAGGCCAGGGAACAAGGCAAGCCCTGGCCCTGGCCCCTACTGACTGCACACTAGCTTACCTTGAGCGTGCTACGCAAGGCTCGGATGCGGTGCAACTTCTCGTTGACAACGGGGTCGTTGCAGCGCTTCACGAAGGCCCTCCGGTACTCCTGCTTGGTGGTGGGTCGTGGCTCGCCAAATGCCGACAGGCTAGCCTGCTCCAGGGAGCGGTACAGCTCCCGCAGCCCGTCAGGAGCCTCCCCGTCACGCTCATCATGCCGTGACTCTGCCAGGGGACATGGGGTGTGAGCCATTCGCTCAGGTGGGAGAGGCTCCTAGCTTCCTGCATCCCTCTGAGTGCTGCTGTTGCCATGATACCATCTCACATCCATCACGCTTCTTTTTTGGGGTGATGAAGTGTTGTGCTTTTTTGTCTTTACATAACACTTTCACGCGTCCACGTATGTTAATCGACATGCATATTAGCGCATTCGTAGGCTAAATTGTGTACTCAATGCATTATGAATCTTTTCTTGTTGCTCTGGCTCTCAAATGTTTCACACTGATTGCAGCTGTAAGAACTATACATTGATTCAGTATTAAAAAAAAATATTAAAACCAGTCATTTAGTTGACATCAGTGACCACCACTACACCCATCTTCACTAGTTACACTGGACGGTTTTGCCCCATTACCGGTTCACTGGAGTGTGGCTTTAATCTGAGTAAGTCACTGACAAGCCCTTGAATGGGGTGCCTTTAGGATATGATGAAGAAAGATCGATACTAATTGCCAAGCAAATTTCCAAAACCCACTCAATCCATGGGGTATGATTTTGAGAAAATTTCTGAGGACTCAGTGAGCTTTGGAAATGTAACAAAAGTTCTTTGCTAGATTGGTTCAGGACTGACTGAGATTTGGTTCCTGATATAATAACATATGATGAGAAAGCCTGACTGTCAATCATTGGCTGTCTCATCTCAGAAACATTAAAAAATAGACAGTGAGTTTTGGGAATTTGCTCTTCAGTTGAGGAGGTGCTTTCCTGGGACCAATTCACCTCGCCATGGTGTGCCTGTTTATGCCAAATGCACATCCTTCCCTCATGGGTAACTCACCGGCTTTGTGCTTGAAGAAAGGCACCTCATCGTCCTCACTTTTCTCCTCCGAGGGCCCAGCAGGGTGCAGCACGCCCCTGGGGCCCCGTACCTCGCGGTTCCGGGGCAGGCTCTGGCTACGCTGCTTGTGGGCACGGCGGTGAGTGTGTGGCCCATACTCCTCACTGCCCGCTAGTGGGAAGGGTCCGTCTCGGTCCTGATGGTGCCGCCGCTGCACGGGCAATGTGGCCTGGCGCCGGCGCTCGGGTGACATGGGGAGACGCCCCCCACCGCCACCGATGCCTGCTGTTACTGCCACCCCGTATACGCTCTCGGCTTCAGCCGGCACCGTCTGCAGGAAGTGTAGACCCGAGCTGGTCAGGGGCGTCTCGATCAGGTCTTGCCAGGACCGGCGCTCACGGTGCGTGGAGCGGCAGCCAGATGAGTGAGTGCTGCCTGCTACATCGGGCCGCGAGTCCTCCGCTGATGACTGTGAGTACGTGGACTCGCTGGAGAAATGGCGTCCATGCTTGGACTCCGGGAATGGACTGGAGGAGTTCACCTGGGTGGGGGGCAGGCCAGGAAGGGGGACCACATTAAAGCTCTGAGACCAGAGAGGTGGTGTGCGACTCGACTTGTGATCAGTAAGTCGCTAGTTCAAATTCCATCCTCGGCAGAAGAGTCATATATCTGTTGGGCTCTTGACCAATGCCCTAAACCCCCAAAATGCTCCAGAGGTACCAGATAAATGGTGTGATCATGCATTCTAATGCCAAGCTTCATTCCCAGCTTTGTTCCCAGCTGTGTGTGTGAAAATAGACATTCCAGTGCACCTGTACTTGTGCAAAAGGCAAGTGAAGCATCATTATGTAAGACAGCTAGCCACACCCAGAGGGAGATGGCAGGTTTGAGGGTGAAAAAGATAAGATCACACCTGATCAAATAAATGCAGCATAAATAACATACCTTACTGACAAGTCCCCTTGTTATTCAGTACTAGGTTCTGGTTCTCCCCTTGTCATTCAGTACCAGGCGCCGGTACTCCCCTTGTTATTCAGTACTAAGTGCCAGTACTCCCCTTGTCATTCAGTACCAGGCGCCGGTACTCCCCTTGTTATTCAGTACTAAGTGCCAGTACTCCCCTTGTCATTCAGTACCAGGCGCCGGTACTCCCCTTGTTATTCAGTACTAAGTGCCAGTACTCCCCTTGTCATTCAGTACCAGGCGCCGGTACTCCCCTTGTT